AAAAAGTCTATTGGTCCCTCAGTGACTACTTCGTTCACAACTGTCAATCATGACGTCACATTCCCGTTTTTTATAGCATCAAATAACTAAGACCAAACTTATTTTTAAAAAACGAAATCAGCATGATAAAAACTACCTAAAATGACAGAAAACATCTTTGAGAAATTTATTTGAAGTGTAATTTGATTGTATAGTTTTCATCGTGATTCGTGCCCATTAGACTTCATGGGGAGGCGGGCTTTATGACCCCCGGTGGGACCAGCCTATACTGGGACCAGCCTTCGGGGGGCGATCAAGGTGCTTTGGCTTCACTTTTCAGCACTTTTGGGCATGCTTGGTTGAATGTCCACCACAATGTCTGTAGTCCCATTTAGACACTTGTTAGCAGCCGCCTTCTTCAAGACATGTAAAAGCTTTAAAATATCACGAGTGAGTTATTACTGATGAGTTTTATGTCGTGGAATAAAACATTTAAATCTCTCGAGCTTGTGTTCATCACAGGCCTTATTTCAGGCTTTGAACTAAAATCACATAAAAAAAAACATTGACTTCAGGACGATGGAATCGGAAATGCTAAAATGCTGACTCGTTTCTTTGTTTTGGCCTACAAGATTACTTTATCCCTGCACCACTCTATTGGTCCAAGAATATTCCAAACCACAACTTAACAGAATTTATCTTTTATTTAATGCCACTGGTACTGTTTGCAACTGTTGTCGTTAATCATGACAGTTTGGAATGGATCTTGTTTTTATTTTTGGTAAGATTTATACATGCTTACAACAAATGCACTAATTGATTTTTATGTTGATCTAAGACGCCAGCCACCAATGGGGTTTGCTAGACCATCTTATTCCAACATCCCTTCTCCTGCACCAAAAACAAGCTCAGGAACACGAACCGCCTCAGGTAAACTCTAGCAAATAATAAAGCTAAACTCTATTACAGATATTAGATGTGCTCTTATGGTTTTTTGAAAAGCCCATTTTTTTGGTGAAATATATTTATGGTATATTCTGATGCAGGTTTTGGAGGAACTAAAAGAAGATAGATGAGATATGAGCGTCTACTCTCACAGCCTCGGTTCTCAGATTTGACATGATCAACGGGCACATTACAAATATTTACAACTTTTTCTTCATACTACTGTTTATTCATAACCTAGACGTTGCTTGACCAGATGTAGGACGTTATTGATTTAGATTTTGGTTATTGGTTTGTTGCTTCTCTTTTTTCATACTGCATGTAACTATGTATAAAAAAAACAAAAAAACACCAAAAACATGTGATTCTACTGTTTTTCAAGCATTTATTAGAATTTTGGAAATTATTGGAAAAGAAAAATGTTTGAATGTTTTAAAAGGCCTTTATTTTCCATATAATTCTATTTCTGTAAATATAAGTCTAAATGAACCCTATACGCTTTATTCACAGCAGCGCCATCTTTGATTTTTAATGAGAATGAAAGCGAGGCTGTGAGGGATAGACTTGCATCTCTTCAATGGGCTGTATTGTTATTTAATGTGTTTTCGGATTGTTCTGCTCATGAAACACTGGAGAAATATCTTTCCAAGAAATGTCAGTTGACTAAAAACTCCCGACAATGTAAGCTGTGGAAAATTGTAAGTAATCTAGCCGCTTTATTCAGCTTTTTACAGCGGATGCCATTGGAAACACGGTAAGTCTATCCCTCACAGCCTCACTTTCATACCTGTCATGGCGCTGCTCTGAATAAGGTCTATTTACTTAATGCAAGTACTTGGTCTTATTCTGCAGTGATTCAATATTATTCCAAAGAAATTTTTATTTTATTATTAAGTCTTTTATTAAATCCCTCCGTGGAAAAAAAATATTCTGGCTCCATTCTGACATGGTACTCCCACTTTTGACAATCTTAATCAATAAAATAAGTCCCTGGATAGATTCTCATTGAAAATTCTGTTTTATAGTATAATAAAGTAAAATGTCATTTTTTTGTTTATGTTGACTTTATATTAAAATTATGTAAAAGATATATTGTGTGAGTGTGTGACATTAGCTTATACTGGACCTACTGTGAAAAGTGCTTAAGCTATTGGCTATCGTGAAAACATGCAAACTGATACGTTAAGGCATAAGATGTCAATTTGCTTACTCTATTACTCATTGTCTTTATATTAAAATTCTGATTTGGAAAAGCTTTGAATGACTATACTGTGGTGTGCATCTTGATACAAAATAATGACTCTGATTTTAAGTTTAAGATATATCAGTGCAAGTTGCTTTGTTTAAAACAGCTCGAACATGCATTTTAGTCTGGGACTAGCTTAAACCTTGTCTGTGAAATCAGGGGAATGTGTCTACTGCTATAGTCATGATTCAGATTATGAGAACATCAAGGTTTTCCACTTGATTTAATATAAAGATATCTGATTAATCTTTTCAGGTTTAAAATTGTAACTTTTTTCTCATATCAAAAAATCACATTTTATATGTACCATACTGTATCTCACCACTGGTGTCCAATGGTACTAAAAAACATAAATAAAAAACTTTTGTGTCATTTCATGCTAGTTTAAGTATACTAATTTTAGGTTACAGAAGAATACAGTATAACCATGATAAATTAATTTCATTTAGTGTCACTTTATTTGTATTCACTCATACAAACACACATGGAAAGGTACATACATCTGTATTTATATTTGTAGTGTTTAGAATCCCATTTTATACATTTACAAATATAAAAATATATATATTATGTATTATATATATATAGAATCTCACTTCTTTTGTAATTACAAAAACAACTGACATCAAAATTGCAATGAACAAATACTTAAAAACAACCCCCATAAAAAAAAAAAAAAAAACATAAGATATTTCACTGCTGCACCCTGAGACAATAACAATCGATCATCAGATCACATATGAAGTGTTCACAGATCAGCCTTCTCCTCATAGTGACAAATACAGGATGATCTTTGGCTGTCCAGGTAAGGCTTACATCCCAAGTGCATGACAGTATCAAACAGCAAAGTCACTGCTGATTCACAGGCTGTGAAAACACATGGGTATAAAGGTTTTATCACAGCATAATGTCCAAGAAATACAGTAAGATATAATAGGCCAGCTATACATATCCTGAAAATGGTGAACAATAAATAATAGAAAATATAAGAATTAACAATACTTTTCCATTGTTCAACATTTACTAATACATTATTAAAATCAAAAGGTGTATTTGTTAACATTGTCATTAATAAATCATGTTTAATTTGGACTTCTCTGTGCATGCTCTTTGAGGTGGTGACCACAGACCTGCATTATATGACTGACAGACACGAACGGTTTGACATAAAAATTTAAACTACTGCGGAAAGAAAGACACCTACATCTTGGATGCCCTTGAGGTAAGCTAAAACATACCAAAAATTAATTTCAAAGTGAACTATCCCTTTAAAAAGATGAATAAATAGTGTAACTAATGTATTGCTCATTGTTAGTTATTTAAAACATGAACTTATGTTAACAAATGAGACCTTACTGTAAAGTGTTACTAATAAAACGTATCTCTAAAGTCTGACTTATTATCTTGCAATTACAAGTTTTATAAAGAAAGTTTTATAAAAAAATATATATTATTGCGAGATATAATTTATGAATCGCAAGATAAAAACTCGCAATTCGGAAAAAAAGCATTGATAAACTAGCAATATTGTGAAGAAAAATCATAATTGCAATCTCAGACTTCTTTTCTCAGAATTGTGATATAAACTTTTATTCTGTGATGGAAACAAGACAATTCATTACACAATATTAGCAAGACTGTCAATTACCTTGAACACTTTGGGACAAGCCCAGTGTCGTTTGTAAATTGTTGCAAATGTTCTCCAGACAGACCTGGAACTGCTCGTCACAGTCATTTTTCTTTCTCCCACAGGTATCATAGCATAGATCATGCTCATTACAGCATCTGGTCAAAGATGGCATCCCAACATCAAACTGCAGTCCACCAATGAGAATATTAAAAGAGTAAGCATTTCAATTTCAGACAATTAGTGAATGCCACAAAACAGCAATACCAATAATATCTAGCTCCTACACAACAACAGAAGTAACTGCAAGTCTTCCCTCCTCACCTGAAATCCAAACAGTGGGGAGCCACATCCATTGGGTGGAGCGGGTTTGTAGTTGGGGCGAGGAACTGGTGAGTACCCTATAAACAGTGTTGCTTAAGTTACTCTGAAAAAGTAATTCATTAATAGCTACTAATTTGAAATTTCATCTCCAACAGTGTAATTACATTATTGTACTACTTTTCTCTTACCAAAATGTATTGCATAACCGTTACTTACTTTCTAAATCCTATAGACATAGACATGATATTGCTCTTTTAATTCTTTTAAGTAAATAATATTAAATTGCATAAATTTATTGTTGAACTGACCAAAAGTATTTAAAGGGAAATGGTTACAATAAGATGCATTTAATCATTAGACGTTAAATCCACTAATGTTTTATATAGAATCGTTTCTATATTCATATGACTTTTTATGTTTAATAGATCAGTAATTGATTGTCTAATAACTTAAAATTTGACCAACCGTCGCCGCACTTAAAGTGACACCGTCCGTCTGAACCTCCGATCAGGTCCAAAGCCATGTTGAGGTAGGCGTCTATGCTGTGAATCCCCTTCCGGATGGATTTTAAGGTCTTTCTCCAGTCTGGAGGTTTAATTTCTTCAGTAAATCTATCAGCTTTAACCACATTTATCAATATTATAACAGAGAGCAGCAGTGTAACACTGGAGATGACACGACAGAGCATAGTCCAACAAATGCCACGTTTCAGGCTAACGTTACCTCTACAATCTAATTATCTATAAAGTATCCGTTTTATTTATGTTCCCAAAAAGATCACTATCATGTTTAAATAGATCTGCGATAATGAGGTTGTTTTTACTCGTATAAATAGTTGTCAAGTAAGGTACGAGCACGAGTCGGCGACAGTGTTTACTTCCTGATGATATGCAGATTCTTCTTCTTCTTGTAATGGAGTTTTATGGCGGCGCATTACCGCCGCCAACTGGACTGTAGTGGGAAACACTAATAAGCAAATGGAAATTAACAATTTAAATAAACAAAATATGAAAATAATAATAATAATTGTAACACAATTGCTTTAAATTCTCCAGACTCTTCCTATAATATTATAATATTGCTGTCTTTGCCTAATCAAAAAATAAAAATAAAATGTTGCCAAATACTGAAGTTGTATTCAAAATAAAATCAGTTATTTTGTATAATTTAAAACATTAAATAAATAAAAAATATTGGTCTTACAAAATATCGATGTTGTTACATCTTTACATTTTCAAAGTGTAGACAACGACATAAGTTGTAAGGTTGTAAGTTGCAAACTTTTCAAGTCAAGTTTCGATAGATGGCGATGTTGGACTTGTGGCGCAAAATATCCAAAGACGAGAAGGACTGGACAGCACACTCGTAAACAGAAAGAACACTGCTGGATTGTTATTTTTAAGATTTCATTACGTTCCTCATTAGACCAACTATAAAAAACAAAAACGGTTTCCGGTAAGACGGCGCTTTATTGATTAATTGTCATTAAAAGTCTCGAGCTCTTTGCATTCTGTATATTAATAACCTACCTACTACTTTATGCTGCATACATACATCATTACTACCACTTTAAATTAATAATATAATCAATTTAATTTGTGATTTCTCTAAAATTGTATTTTTTTTTACATTTTATTTCAACTCAACTATAGTTTATGCTCTATACATTTGTAATACTGCAACTTTGAAATATATTACATTTGATTTGTGATTTTTCTCATGCATGTATTTATTTATTCATATTCATCTTATTGCTTGTGTTAAAATCTTGAAAGATTTTGATTTTAGTCATTGCATAATTTCAATACTGATATTATAGTATTTTATTGTGAAAGGAAAGGTTTGTGAACTTCGGTCACTGTATTATTTCCAAACTGTCATTTCTATATGAATGTTTTAATTGCTTACTTATTATTTTATTGTGTAATAAATGAATGAATGAGTGTATTTTTTCCAAACTGGTATTGTATGTAGACTGATCATGGATGTACCAGAGGCCAGTCACTCTCAAGAAGCACCAGCAGATTGTGTAAACTCTTCACACGAGTCCAGCGTGTCCTTAACACCGCACATGTTGGCCAAAATAGAACGGAACAGACAACGGGCATTGATGCTCAGACAAGCCAGGCTCGCCAGTAGACCGTCTTCAGCTATAGAAGGCATGTGTTTGGAAACTGCACAACACATTCAGCATTTGAAATTGCATGAATTTCACTCATAAATAATCTGTCTTCCCTCAGGTGCTACTTGTGCTAAAGTGGCAAAAACTATAGACTCTGGTGCAGGGTTCTTCATTGAAGAGGAGACGGCAGAGGATGAGCAGCAGGAAAAGAGAGTGGTTCAGCAACCAGGTGACCAAAAATGGCATCGCATACATGCACACAATTGTTTTCAATATCCATTTTAATTAATTAATTTTCATGTAAGTGCTTTAACAAAAAAAAAAGCATGCTTAGTAAGTGTGTTACCTGCCCAATAGACATCCTTTATAATACTGAGTGGCAAATTTAAACTATTTTATGTGTGTGTGTTTGTGTTTCAGCCCCTGTGATGGAGCCTGATTATCTGATGTGTGAGGAGTGTCAGAAGCCATTTATGGACTCTTACCTCAGCAACAGTTTTGATTTGTCTCTGTGTGATAAATGCAGGTATGTCATCCATTCTTTACGTGGTCACAGTGGGTCAAAACATAATGTTAAACTTGTTACAGAGAGTTTACTGGCTGGTGTTGTTAGTAAAATGTAGTTGTTTTTTTCTCAGTATTTCAGTTCCGTTACTTTATTGTGTTTCCTGTGCACCTGCAGTTCAACAAGTGCTCAAAACAAGTATTGTAATGTGTCTGCGTAATTCATTTTATAAATGCATATGTTTGTATAGAGACAATGAAGTGAAGCACAAGCTAATATCTCGCACTGAAGCGAAACAGACTTTCCTTCTGAAGGATTGTGATCTGGATAAGAGGGAGCCACTGCTGCGATTTGTCCTGAGGAAAAATCCTCACAATCCACACTGGGGAGACATGAAACTCTACTTAAAGACACAGGTCGGTTCAACATATCCTCAAGCCAGAGCTGTACATATAACCTGATCTCACTCAATCCAGTTATTAAATTCAAATCCCTTCTAAAGATATATGAAATTAGTTTTTGTTTGTTTTTGAAAGAAACTACTATGATTGCCAAGACTGCATTTATTTGTAATATAGCACTAGTATTGTGAAATATTTTTACAATTTAAATTAAAGGGATAGTTCACTTTGAAATTAATTTTTGGTATGTTTTAGCCTATCTCAAGGGCATCCAAGATGTAGTTGTCTTTGTTTCCGCAGTATTTTCGATTTTGATATTTTTGGGTCAAACCATTCTTGTCTGTCAGTCATATAATGCAGGTCTATGGGGTCCACCTCAAAGAGCATGCACAGAGAAGTCCAAATTAAACATGATTTAATGACTCGTAAATGTAAGTACACATTGATGGTTTGATTTGATGACATTGATTTTTCGTTTTCTCACACAAACCGCTCGTTTTTTTCTTAGGCCATCAATGTATTGTGTACTGACTGACATTTACGAGTCATTAAATCATGTTTAATTTGGTCTTCTCTGTGCATGCTCTTTGAGGTGGTGACCATAAACCTCCATTATATGACTGACAGACAAGAACGGTTTGACCTAAAAATATCAAAATTGAAACTACTGTGGAAAGAAAGACACCAACATCTTGGATGCCCTTGAGGTAAGATAAAACATACCAAAAATTAATTTCAAAGTGAACTATCCCTTTAAGGGTTTTCTATTTTACTATATTATATTTTTTTCAGCTCTAAGCTTTAGTGTCGCACGATCCTTCAGAAATCATTCTAATATGCTGATTTGGTGCTCTAGTAACATTTCTTATTGTTTTCAACAGTTTATGCTGCTTAATATTTTTGTGGAAACCGTGATACATTTGTTAGGATTCTTTGACAACTACAAAGTTCAAAAGAACAGCATTTATGTGAAGTAGAAATCTTTCGTAAAATGATGTCTTTGCTGTCACTTTTAATCAGTTTAATGTGACCTTGCTAAATAAAAGTATTAATTTCTTCTTTTTTAATATTATTCATTATTATTAATGTATTATGAGCAAACATGACAATAATGACCATTACTATATTTATAAAGTAACTATAAATCCAGAATAATACATGCTGTAAAACTTAGTTTTCATGGTGATGATACCTAATGCATCAAATTAAAAATTGTTACTATATCATGCAAACAGTTTCATGAATTCTTATGTGTGTTTGGTTTGTTGATTTGTGTGTACCATTTTGTTTTGTTTTATTGAATGTTAAGGTGGAAAAGCGCTCTCTGGAGGTATGGGGCAGCGAGGAAGCTCTGGAGGAGGCCAAGGAGAGTAGAGAGGAGAACAGGGAGATTCAGAAGCAGAAACGCTTTAACAAAAAAGTTAAAGGTATGAAAGCTGAGCTAAAAGTATGACAGATTTAAAATGTACGCTAAAATATTTTTCCACTGAGAGATAAATAGTATGTAAAATAATCTATATTTTAAATTTCTCGTGAAACAAAATTAATTTGTGCACTTTTAAAATGAGTGAATAAACCGACTTAATTTGTTCACACGACTACATTTGGTAACATTGTATAATTATACATTGCTCTCAATCTTCGTCTGGCTTTCAGAACTGAGGCGGGCGGTAAGGAGCAGTATGTTTAAGAAAGATACCAGTGTCCATCAGCATGACTACGGCCCTGACGAGGTTCTGGACGAAGAGGAAGATCTCTACAGGAAAGTGTGTCAAACCTGTGGACACGAACTCACTTTTGAGAAAATGTAAATACGTCTTCAAACTACAGCACAGGGAAGAAGCAGGTCCGAATCACGTTTCTAGTCCTCGACACATTCCTTTGGCTTGCAGTCCAGGTACCAATACAGGTTTTTCCACTTTTTTTCACTTGATCACAAGAGGGCACTGTAGAGCTACCATTTTAAGAAAACTGCAATCAAAATGACAGATGATGTAAGGTTGAGTTTTTGCCGTTTAGGGGAGAGTACACTGTTGAACATGTTCTATATCTGTGAAATGGACAAGGAAAAATACTAAGGAAATATATTAAATAGTTTACCCTTTCAACTGTGTATTTAATATTTAGGACCTGACTACCGTAAACCTGCTCTTTCACATACGATATTATTATAAATGACGAGGCAAAAGCTCTAAACGGGTCCAAAGTTGAGCTTGTAACAGGATCTCGTTTCTCAGTCTCCTACCGCGTGCCTGTTTGTTCGGCGAGGGATTTTGATGATTCCGTACGTAGACTGAGAGATTCTCTCACGGTGTTGTGTTTCAGTCTCTCTGTGGCCATTGAAAGTATCCGACAAGGAGCACAAACACACTCACATTTGGTGCCAAGGTTGCTAGATACTTTTTTGCTGTATTATAATTATAAATAATGAACTTAGCCTATGAAATGTTTGTAATAAATTTTTTACAAATTGGAGAACGTGTCTCCATTCTGTGTTTACATCGTCCATTATCAGCTTTTATTATCTGATGTCTCATTGACCACAAACACGCATATTATTATTCTTCAGGGACGCATACGACCGCATGCCCACTTTTATCATGGCAAAGCTTGTGAATGTGAGTAAGAGTGAATATGCGATCGTTCCTTTTGTCGTGATGTCCACTAAGGCAGGGTTACACATGCCTTGCATTGCTGTCATAATTTGTGTTCGCCCTATATCTTGTTAGCTTTTTTGTCTCTGTCCCATTTAGGCCCCATGACCAAACGAAAGACACCTCCAGTAAAATCCTATATTTATTATGTAAATGTAAATGATTATTATTGTTGTCAATGAAAAAAGCTAAGCGGCTTTTTGTGGAAACAGTTTTTTTCAGGATTCTTAGCAGCATTTGTTTGAAATGTATTTAGGTCTTTACAGTCAATTTTGATCAATTTACCCCAAACTTTTAAAATAGTAGTGCATGTGCAGAGCTTGTTGGTTGGTTTTCCATTAGCTCCTTCTCATAGCTAGCTGTTACCATAATTTATAAGGCACATGTTCACTGCTTCAAATCATAAATTTTCCTCCGATTGATTTAATGGCCTGCATATTCATTTTGTCAGGCTATGTCAAAACTCATGTGTGAACTATTGACATACTGTGGATGCAAAATTATTCAAAAGGGTAATGAATTCATTCCTCAAGACCTTTTAGTGGGGCCTTTTTATTTCTGTTCTCATGCCTAGTGCGTTCTTATGACCTAATTGTGAAGTCTCAGCATAGCAGTTCTGAAATTCAAAACCCTCCACACTTTTATCATCATTCACACTGACTCAACTAATGCACACAGGGACATGAGATGAGCTGTCTACTAAATTGTCCACCTGCAATCACATAAGTACTGTGATAATAGGTCTAAAAGTCTTTCTGTTGATAGTTACAGGCGAATAATAATAATAATAATAATAATATATGGTATAGCCTAATATTAGCTAGAAAATAAATACGTTTACAGGTACACCTATTTTGTGCCACGCTGCTGATTGCTCAGTGTCTTCTCCTGTGCTGCTGATGATGTCCCCAAACCTGTGCTGACCTTTAGGGTCAAAGTAAGGACCAAAGACCAGCAAAGCACAGCAGAGTGAGAATGAGAAGGACATACCACGCTAATGCCTGTGCTTTGATTAATGGCACTCATGATTTGCCACCTGCTGTTTTATATGGCCCTCTGTGAGTAACTGATCTCGAAGTGCTTGCATGTGTGTGGTGTCCACATTTTAAATAGCTGCCTAAATTTAACAGCTTTGTAGAGGTCGTTAAAAATTCAGACACTAACAAGTTTGTGAGCAGTTTGTCTTCTGGTGTGAAATGGACCACTCTGAAGCATTTAATGTAGTCTGATATATATGCAGCTGTCAAAGTGGATCCATCGTTTACCCGTTCGGACTAATGATGGTAATACATGAGATGAGTGCAGGCCCAACTACTCCATATGCAAATACTTTACATACTGTTAGCAGGTGTCCTAAATAGCCCCGTACCCGGCTCCTCCACGGATCTGGAGGATAGATTAGCCATGGCCAGGGAGGGATATGTGCAATTTTTTTATTTATTTTTAAGTCAAATTCTCTAATCATTAAATGTTTAGATCTTTTCTGTTGCAACTACTGCTACAACAAAAGGTGCACTCTTTATTATTTTGCAAAAAATCAATAATCCTTGTACTGCTGTTGACCCCTTTTCACCCACAATTATTGTGAAAGTTAATATTATCTATATGGTAATAATCTATTTATTGGAATTAAAAGTTAGACTTGATGCTTAACCATAACACTTTATAACAATGTTCATTAAGTTGATAAACACTGTAAAATATTTAATAGTTCATGTGCATTCAGATAAGTAGTTAGTTGGTAACACTTTAAATTAAGGTTCTATATGTTATAACTAGTTAATGCAATAGGTACACTCTAAAAAATGCTGGGTTGTTTTAACCCAACTTTGGGTCAAATATGGACTAACCCAGCCGTTGGGTTAAATTTTAACATTACATTTTTAACCCAACATTTCGGGTTTGTCCATATTTGACCCAAAATTGGGTTAAAACAACCCAGCATTTTTTAGAGTGTAACATGAAATATATTAACAATAGCATTTATCAATCTTCATGAATGCTAATATATATATATGAGTACTAATACAATTTCAACATTTCAAATGCATTTTTTGCAAGTTGTTCATTGTAGTTTATAATAACATTCATTAATGTTAACACATTTTTAAACCGTTCTGTAAAGTGTCACCAAGAATTCATAAATATGCAAGACAAATAAAATAAAAAAAACATTTTTGTTTGCAACTATCATACAAAATTATAGTGTATTTACTGACATACAGTTATTGAGACCTTGCCCATGTGACATCTAGCCCTGGTCTTTCATAAGTTATTGTAAAGTGTTACCCAAGTTTCAGAATTGAACTCTATTCTCCCCTCACGTTGCATTTTAAAAATGAGGTTTATGCTGTTAATAGACTGTCACCATCTTAGATTTATTGTCAACTTTCTTATTGGATGCTATGATTTCAGACTGTCATATCCCTCACACCTCTGCAGTTGTTCTTTTCTCTCTTTCTTTGTTGGGTAGTGGTTCTCGTGTCTCTTTCCCAAAGCCAACTTGTCTTCTGTACGGTTGGCAGCAGGCACTGGCTCTAATACGGGGATGCAGCTGTCATGGGCCAGAGGCGGACATTGATAACATTCAGTTGACAACAAATGTTTCTATACTCGCATTATGTATGCGGTTATGCGCTTCTAGGAGGCGGTTGCCCACAATAGACCTGTGGCTCTTCTTGAGCATAGTGTTTTCTAAGCTTTGAGGGCTATGACATGATATCTATTAATACCTGTGTAGAGTAGTGGAGATGAGCATAGGGTAAGATGTGCCGTCACCTTGATCTAGGAAACTGCCCAGAATTTATATTTATATATTATATTAATTAATATTTATTAAGGACCCATATATACAGCTGCCTATTATTGAGAGGTGAACATGAAATCTGAAACTGGTGAACATTATTTTGATGCAACTGTTTTTGCCCGTCAAAATAAACTTTCTAGACAAGAATTCATTTAAACTGAATTCATCAGAATATATATACTATATATATACTGTGTGTGTGTGTGTGTGTGTGTGTGTGTATATAAAGAGTTCAGATGCAAAAGCCTCTAAGTGCCATTTGAAATTTTCATCTAGAATGATCATTTTTTTCAAGCTTGTATATTTAAGTTCAGTAATTTCACTTAAATGGCAATGAAGATTACCTATTAATTGTCATTTAAGTGAAATTACTGAACTTAAATATACAAGCTTGATAAAAATTATCATTCTAGAAGAAAATTTCAAATGGCACTTAGAGGCTTTTGCATCTGAACTCTTCATATATAATTATTTTTTTTCAAACTTGCTAGTCAATTTCCAATGTATCAAACTATTTTTTTTCCTATGGCTAAAGGTTAGCTGTCTTAGCTCATCTATATTACATGAACATTTTTATTACAGTCATTGTACTAATAGTCATAGGTCCTGCATTTAGATACAAATCTTACGAAAGATTATATTAAACGTGCATGCATGGGAACACAATTTCTTTGAATAATTTGGAAGTTCACTGTTAGAGAGAATCCTACCAATTAAACTACTAAGATTTTTCCAATGAATGGACTAACATTTGATACATTTCGCTGCTGTCCTGAAGATTGTAACAATGCATTTAGTTTCTTCAGTTCACTCAAGAACATTTTTTTGTTTAAATAAAAATATTATTTTGAATTAGTAATTTATTAAATTATTAAACTTTATTTACAAGATAGAAATAATAGGGTACATTAAATCAAATCTAAAAACTATAAATCCGACTGGTTTATAATAGATGTTATTATATATATTTTGTGAGCAAATATGGGATAATATTTTTTTTATATATACATAGTTTTCCTCCCATATTTTTTATTAAAACGTATATATGCCCTAATCTGCTCACGTAGGCTACTCCTCAAAAAGATCAACGTATTCCTTAACATGACACTGTCGCAATTTAATGTCAGCTATGTAGTCATTACGTCATTATCATTACTAGACACATGATAAGTGGTAAGGGGATCATACCTGTGCAGTGAGACTGCATCGCTCTCTCTCTCTCTCTCTCTCTCTCTCTCTCTCTCTCTCTCTCTCTCTCTCTCTCTCTCTCTCTCTCTCTCTCTCTCTCTCTCTCTCTCTCGTCGCCGCAGTGTCTCCCTCGCTCACTTTTCCCTCGCGCATAGGTCCCGTTCAGTCACTCTCTCTCTCACACACACATACACAAACCTTACTACGGTCCGGTGTCAGAAGTAACACCACTGATCTCCGTGCGGGACGCCGTTCAGAGCAGATGGAGACACTTCAAACGGCCGTCGCGAGCAGAGAGGACACCGGACCGTTGAAAAAGCCGCTGGCAGACACGAAAGAACACTGCAACAGTGGCTATCACAGCGAAACAAATTATGTAGACCTGGACAATCCACCGGACATGAAGTCAGACAGCACAAAGACTGTTAAAGTCACTTTCACAGGTGAAGGGAACCAGCTGGCAATATTTAAATGTAAAGGCGATGCATCCATCTCCGGGATTAAGAGTCCTGGGGAGCGAGAGGAGAATGAAAATGCCGACAAAAGTTTATTGAAAGACTGTCACGAGGGAAAATGTCATTCTGAGAGTCTTTATGAAGAGCGCGTTCCGCTAATAAATGATTATGTGGACGCGGGGTCGGATGTAAAGACCGAAGATTCAAAATCGGCGTCGTTTGAAACGGAGGAGTTGCAATACACCGACATGTACTTGAACAGTCGCTGCGAATCCAAAGACAGCACGAGCACAGCAGATGTAGAGGCACACTATATAACGACGCACGAGATCCAGCTAACGGAGTTAGATCACGATGTGGATTACGAGTTTGGTCGCGGATCCTGCTTGGATTTCGAGGATGATAATTTGGTATATTCATTTGTTGACTACGCATCATTTGAAAGTGACGAGACGACCCTCGGTAGAATCCAAAGCAAGTCCAAGAGCAATAAAGTCCCGCCGACTTCACGCGCGGCGAAGCTTTCCGCCACAGGTGCTCTGGTCAGCACCGAAAGTGAACTTTGCGAATCCGATAAATGTGCCAGCTCGGATGAAGGCGGCGGCGGACAGCTTGGAAATTCGTCGGGACATATTCACCTGTCAATCAAAACGTCTTCGCGCGCGATCAACGACCCTGCCAGTGTTTTAGGTCAGAGGAATGTCCGCTTTCACAGCAGACGTGCAGGTGAGCGGAGTCATTATTCATT